TCATCCAGACAGCTATATGATTGAAAACATTCATATCTTGTATCATTAAAAGTTTGAATGTTTCAGAACTTCCCACATTCCAACGTTAGGGACAATATCTCCTCTATCCTGTTACTTAGATTAGATTCTATTATTCGACTTCCTATTGATGTATAACCTACAAGCCTAAACACAAACAAGCTGTGTTCCTTAAAACATGAGCATTTGACAGTATCTAAAATGGTCTGGAACTTAAAATACCTAACTCCAGTATATCAAAAAAGTAATCTGCATTTATGTAGAGAACTTGAATTATATATGAAGCCTTATCACAAATTAAGGCGTTGCAGTTTACAGCCAGTGAATTACTGCTCCAGTGTTGCAGGCAATCACTACAACTTAAGCACACACAAGATTCCAGTGAAAGTCAAGAATGTCCAGTTAATTTCTTTTAATAGGGTTAACTGACAGATGTTAAAACAACAGCCAAGATATTCATTCCCTGTTCTTCATAAAGGGAAAAAAGTGTCAAGTAGTATGTCAGCTGATTTCACATGCACAACCTCAGTTTTTGGGAGGTCGAAAAGTGGTGAGTAGTGCATTTTGGAAATCATTTCATTATCATAGGCTGTAGCTGGGTGAAAATCCTGGAACTACCTTCTTATAGCACTGTTGATGTACCATTACACAGAATTCAGCTGATTAAGCAGTCATGTCTCAGCATAGAGAATTGATAGAAGAACTATCTTGACTATTGCAGCGAATTGTCAGCCTAACAATATATTAAAGACAAGTTAACAAGCTTGAATTTCATGATCTCTCATTCAGAGAAAAGTCCACAATTCAGCAAAGTTGACATTTCATATTCAACTGTGGAACCTAGGTGACAAACAGGCAAGATAAAATTAAGTCTTTAGCTCATTATGAAAAGTGTCGAAGGTTCTTGAATAAATTTGTTGCTCGGGTTGTGGATGCTGTGGTTGGTTCTCAGACGTTTCATTACCCTGCTGGGTAACATCATCAGTGCAGCCTCCGATGGTGTGTTGTTGTGTTTGCCCGCCTGGTATTTAAACTCTGGGGTCCGTTGGAATTGGTTACCTCATTTCCGGTTTTCCTTCGCAGTGGTGTATATACAGGGTCTAATTCTATGTGTTTATTGATGGCCTTCTTGGAGGAGAACCAGGCCTCTAGGAATTCCCGTGCTTGTCTCTGTTTGGCCTGTCTTTGGGACAACATTAGGATCCTGTCGAACTGGTGGTTCTCCTTATCTGTGTGAATGGAGACGAGCGAGTATTGGTCATGTCTTTTTGTTGCTAGTTGGTGTTCACGTATTCTTGTGGCCAGTTTCCTTCCCGTCTATCCAACGTAATGTTTGTCACAGTCCTCGCATGAGATTTTCTTTTTCACGTCGGCTCTGTCCATAGTGGGTAAGGGGTCTTTGGTTTGAGTTAGCATAGGGTTAACATGGGTTTGTGTGCTACTCTGATGCCCAATGGTTGTAGGAATCTTGTGGGCAGTTCAGATATGTTCTTCATGTACGACAGCGTGACGAGTGTGTCAGGGCGTACTGTATCTTCCTGTTGTTATTTGTGTGATAGGCATGTGTGATTTGTTATTGGTGTGATTGTCCTTAAATACTTGAAGGTACTCTTCTTCTTTTTGACGTAGTTCCAGGTTGCTACACTGTGTTGTCGCTTACTTAAATAGTGTTTTTATGCAACTTTGTTTGTGGGTGGTGGGCTCATTGCTGTTGAAATTCAGGACTTGGTCATAGTGTGTGTGGCTTTTCTGTGTACCGTCATCAGGAATTCCCTGTTGGCCCTGAGTTCTACCATGACATCCAGGATTGGAAGCTGTTCGTTCTTTTCTTCCCTGGGGAATTTGACGTTGGTGAGAGTGTTGTTTATTAGGTTGTGTGTCTCCTCTAGTTTGGTCTGTTTGATGATGACAAAAGCAGATCCATAGTTTGGATTGGATTTACGGAAGAGCTGTGTTTTTGAGTCTCTGCATCACCGCTTCTGCTATTACTCCAGAGATCGGTGGCCCCATGGGTGTCCCGTTGATCTGTTTGTAAATTTGGCCATTAAAAGGTAAAGTGAGTCGTGAGGCATAAGTCCAGTAGTTTCAGCACATTGTCTGTGGAGATGGTATCACTCGGGTCTCGTTCTTTTAGGAGTTTTGCTAGTGTTTCTCTTGCCAGTGGTATGTCTATCGACGTGAATAGGGTGGTAACATCAAATGACACCAGGGTCTCGTCATCGTCTATTCTTATGTCCGTGAGGGATTTGAGGAACTCCTGGACTGAGTGGGGTGACTTGCTGACGAGGTGTTTTAATCTTCGTTGTAGCTCCTTGGCTAACCTATGTGATGGAGGGAGATGATGGGTCTGAGGGGTACTTCCAGTTTGTGCATCTTTGGAAAGCTCTCATTTTTAGGTGTTCCGTTTTGTTGATTTGTCCATCTGTTTGACTCTCTCTGGTGTGTAGATTATGTTATTACCCAGCTGTGGTGTTAGGTCTATTTGCACTTGCCAATACGTGTTTGTGTCTGCTAGTAGTGTCTGTGCATTAGTGAGGTGGTCCCGTTTGTTTAGTATTACTGTCATGCGCCCTTTGTCCACTGGTAGTATTATGATGTTATTGTCTTTTTTCAGCCCTTCTAGGTCTTTCCTTTCTGATGTGTTCGAGTATCAAGTTCGCTCCTTCTGGTCAGTGTCAGGACCACTGTCTGTCTTAGAGCTTGTTGCGTTTCCTCATTAATGCCTTTGGTCTTCAGTGTGGCTAGAAATTCTGTCTTGTTAGCATCTCTGTGGCTGTAGTTGAGTCCGCATATTAGAACAGCTTTCTCTGTGTCTGTTAGTTTCTTGTCTGAAAGGTTTCTTATCCAAGTGTCTGACCTATGGTTGTCCTTTTGGTTGGTTAGTTTGGCCAGTTTATTTTTGGTTCTTGTTATCTGTTGACTGATGTTAATGTTTTTTTTAACCTATTCCGGTTCTTTGTTCTGGGGTGAACACCTCACAGTAGGGAGACATTCATTACCCATTCCTGCCTACCTTTAATCAGGTGGCAATAAGCAGCCTTCTTTAATTGCTGCAGTTGAACTATGTAGGTGCATCTATTGTTGTTAAGGAGGGAGCTCCAGCATTTTGACCCAGTTGCAATCTCCTACAGGTTTATCAAATAATTCATTCACCCACAAAGCAAACAAACAAACGAACAAGTATTTATTTAATCAAGGTGAAAGTCAACATGCTTTCTCAAGGGACTAACTACAGTTAAACCTAATTTGCACATAACATTGGGTTCTGAATTCCCTAGCTAGGATACAACTCTCGGTGCCATATGAACACAGGATTCAAGAGTCAGAGTAGGCCATTCAACCCTGCTGAATTTAATAAGATCATGGTTCATCGAGTGATCATCTCAACTCCACTTTCCTGTCAGCCCCCATAACTCTCCACTCCCTTGTCAAACTCATCTTTGAATAAATTCAAAAGACTCAGCCTGCACTACTTTCCGTCAAGGAGAATTCCACGTCCTAATGACTGAGAAAATTTCTCTTCTCAGACTTTTGAGAGAGATTTCTTTTTCATCTTCTTCCATTTCGACTCTCCATGAGACATAACATTCCCCTGATATCCACTCTATCAAGTCCTCTCAGGATCTCATGTTTCAATAGTGTATCCCATCACATTCTTTCCAAATCCCATGTGCACAGGCATGACCTGTACAATCTCTTCTCATAAAAACCCTCAATTCCAGAAACTAATCACCCGAAACTGCTTCTAGTGCTTTTTTTCAACTTCAATTAAGCTGCCCAAATTATATTGTTATGTCTATTGAAATCGTTGATGCAGTAACAAAAACTTCCCAAATCAGACCTAAAGCTTATAAAATGGACCAACCTGTGTCAATAAATAATGCTGTATATTTTGAAGTTGCAGGCTAATATAGGGCATGAAGCTGGAAAGAAAACTAAAGGCAAAGCAATATTTGCAACAGCTGGGTGTCTCAGTTGCTACAACAGACAATTCAAATTGCTTCCATTTAGGTTGTTTTAGAAACAATGCAAAAACATAAGTGGCACAGGTATCGGAAGCCCTCAGGAGAGCAAAAACACAAAGCAAAGTGAGACATTAAAGGTACAGCAAAAGTGGGTACCTTACTCAAAATGCTTGCTATTTAGTCACTTCAGAAGATATTCTATGATAAACATAATTCTGGCAAATGCTTCTGGATGGTCAAGCGTTATCTAAAGACACACTGGGGCATAACACTTGTGACAAAGATGATTCACTTTGCCACAGTAAAGCTTAAAGCAATTTGTCTCCAGCTTGAAGAAAACAGAGCATAAATGAAATCATCCCTTTGGTTGTCTGACAATATGTTGGCAGGCGTTGGAAGCATTTATTTCTCAACCCAACCAAAAAAAATATCAGGCTTCAATCACATAGAAACTCTGATCGTGTGGTTGACTTGAGCCGTTATCAGTAACTACGCACAAAGGAGATTTTAACTTCCAATGACAACTACCGGGCAACAAATAGTCTATCCAATTGTTCACTGACAATATTTCCTCTTTGAAGAGGAATAATTCAGCGTTCACTGAAGGCTTCATTTTCGAAATTTCAAATTACATTAAGAATAAGATCGGTACAAGTTGAGCCGTACACTTACTGATATTTCAAGACGATTTACAAAACAAAACAAAAGAAGCCACCTGCTTTGGTTTTTAAAATTATGATATTAAAGTTCAATAAGAGTAACCAGCACTTTGGAGAAAGTGGTAGAGTCCACGAACCCATGAATCGCCTCTCTAAAACATCAATAATCTTGACGGATCAGGACTGGCTAGCTCAGCATACACCTAGCCCATTCCATCTGGAGATGACCATTCTCGTCAACCCCGGCCCAGATATTTTCCCCCTTGAATCCCGCAAGGTTGGCGGGAGGAATATTTCTATTCAAGTCAGGGCCTCTGCCCCTTTTGTCAATGTGACCACTCACGAATCCTTCCTTTACCTCGAACATCAGCCCCAGCAGAATCACCATCGCGACGCACGACACGATGTCCGCATGGTTCTGGATCACGAACTCATGACTGAAGACGGCAGGATTTTTGCTTTTCTTCCTCAGGCCCATGACTGCTAACGACCGAAACGACTTTTTCCCTTATGCCCCCCACCCCCCTTCCCTTCGAACTACAACGTAAACAAAATAAAACTTTAGTCAAGAGGAGGGGGAGTAAGAAAACGGGGTCGGGAAGGTGTTTAAAATAAAAAACAATAAAAGTATATCCACTTCACTTCCCTCCTCAGGTTCCCTAACACCCGCCAAACCAGCTCCTCGCCGATCGTCTCCTGCAACAACTGTACAGTGTTGACGCCACTCGGCCCACCGCCACGCCGACCATTCCTGACGCCCATGCAGCTTTGACTGACAGCCACGGTGACCAATCCAAGCACGGTGTTTCCATGGTTCCACGCCTCCTAACGGTCGTTCGGGCACCCGTTGGTCGTCAGCTGATTGACAGGCCGGATAAGTACTCGGATTGGACAATTCCATCCATCTGGCTGACGTAGCACAACCAATCAGACGTGAGGATAGTGTCAAGCGAAGGGTTTGGGTTGAGTCAAACTCTCGGCGTGAGCGCATGTGCAAATGGCTTCCCAGCAGATGCCAGTTAAAGTGTCAACTGTCAAACAAGGAAAGGTGTTGCTTATGAGTCTCTCAGTGCTGTGCCTATCTTATCGAGGAGGTATTTCTGGCATATATCATACAATCAATGTGAAACCATTTTGTTATGGCATTAAGTTTTCTATTGATGGCCATCTTTCCTATTGTGTTCAATTTGACACTCCCTTTTCAAACAAAATTAATTTTTAAAAAATTTATATTTCACTCAAAATTAAATCCACACAGTTTTGTGACTTTAAGCAACTTGCATTAAACACAGACTGTTTAAACTATGCCCCCTTGACATCTGTGCCAACAGCAACAGTATTGCAAAATGATTATGCAAGATGAAATTGTGAAGTTTTGGTTTCCTGCAGATGCAGTTGTGTCCAAGGAAGTAACTGTTTTATTACTGTTGAGGCATGTAACCTCCTGGTTTGTAAGAAATGATTTCTACTTGTGATACCAAATATATCTGGAACAATGTGACCTGATGTGAAAATTTGGCTTTCTTATTGTTAATAAATGCCGCATTGAACACTTTAGATAACGTACTTAAAAGGGAAATGGCCTGATCGGAAAGTGGAGGTTAATGATTTAATCAGAGGACTACTAGTTTCTTTTAAACAAACATAAACATTCAAGTTGTAAACTCTTCTTTTGTATTATCCAGTCAGGTTTGTGCCAAATGAAATATGCACTGGCATGATTTTGAGAAAGAAAGATTATATGGCTGTGTCTGTCTGCTTTAAAATGTTGGGCTTGCTGTCTGAGTTTCATTTTAAAATGTCTTTCAAAATGAGCAAAACAAAAAAGTCAGCAATCATTTGTTTTTGGTGTTTTGCATATTTAAAGGCACCAAACAAGTGAGTGTTGCTATGTAGGTAGCCAATGAGTTTAAAGTTACTGGATGTGTAAACATACCACAACTCAGAATAGTTTGACCTGGGAATGTGCCAGTGACATCTCCTTTTGCAGACTTCCAGTCTTGGCTGAGCTGTCAAAGTGATAAGTGGCGTGTTCCTAATAGGGAGGAAAAATTGATCAAGTTACAATAACCTGTAGCTTAGTATGGCATCACTGTAGTCCTGGGAATTGTTGAAAGCAGACGTGTCAAAACATTTTGTCTTTGCTTCTGCGTCGCATAACTCAGGGCCTTGCTGAGTGACGTATAACATTCAAATCATTACTATTGTTAATTTGTATATGTGCAATATTAGTTCTAAGTGTGCAATTTACTAATTAATCACTGAGGTTGCAGCCCCACTAAAAACAGTTTCCTGCAAACTCAAAGCCATGAAATTCTATCAGCTTACCAGAAATAGAAGTGCAACTACAACAGAGCTTCTGAGACTTTGAAGCTAGTTTAATATGGGCCATAAGCTCTGCATTGGAGACTTCACCTTATATCTCTTGGCCTCCCTCCCGCAGGTTTTCAGGGCAGTTTGAAATATAAAATTATTCAGGGGTCAGGAAGACTTTCCCGAATTTCCTGGTGACCAGGCCCAGCGCTGGCCATACGAAAGTTAAGGGAGAAAGATCTCAACTGTATTTGAAATTTGCATCTTTTGCATGATGGATGCCAACCAAGATTGTCCTCAATTAAAACCATTTATTGACAGATTACATATAGCTGAATTAATGATTGTACCGTGAAATTCAATTTTCATGATAACTGCTATCAATAATTATTTTGTTGCATCGATCAATCCCATATCTACAATTTTGTGTAGTTCCTTTCATTTGCATTCCACCATGATATTTTGTTCTTTGGTCATTCTTTCAAACAAAGCATTCTTTACGTAGTACTGTCTATTGCTTTATTGTTGAAGATACTATTATTAAGGCATCACATTTAATACATTTGCAATGGATGTTATTTGGAGTAGTTGGTGACCAACCTGCCTATGGAAAGGAGCTAACAAGGTGTAGAGCCGGATGAACACAGCAGGCCAGGCAGCCTTCCTGCTCCTATGATGCTGCTTGGCCTGCTGTGTTCATTCAGCTCTACACCTTGTTATCTCAGATTTTCCAGCATCTGCAGTTCCTACTATCTCTATGGAAAGGAGCTTCCTAGTTTAGATCTCCAGTTTCTGGAAAAATTTGTGTTGTAAATCTAGTGTGAAATTTATTGCCATCTTGAAAGATGTGCAGAAGAACCAGTGATACCATATATACAAAGATCCCAGAGGCAACTGGTGATACCTGCCTACACATGCCAAAACACCAGACTGACAGCAATCTAAACATTCCAAGCCTTATCCTTTTTGCCTTCAATGATTAACATAATTGGGAATTTTTTTAAATTGAATCTTTGCAGAGACAAATCTACAACTTCCCCTTTTCCTGGCGTGAATAGGTGTATGTGTTTGAAGGAGCGTTTGGCAACTGTAAACAGCTAGTGAAGTACTATCCTATGAAAAGATCAGAGAATCCCTATGTTGGCTGAAAGCTGAAGAGAGTGTGATCACAAAGCCATGGATACGCTCAAGACTTCTTTCAGGAAAGAAGCACATGCCCAAACTACAGAGCTTCTATGGCTGAGAAGTATTTCAACTAGGTGGCTCAGTGGTTACTGGGAGACAAGGGCTGTTCTCTACAACTCCATTACACAACCCTGCTGACTGAGGCTGGGGCCAAATATAATGATTCCTTTTGGTTGCCCTCCTACTCAGTGCACAGTCAAGGGCACGTCCTGGCTGGTAGTGCTTGACTGGGTGCATAGTTTGGATTAAAGATGATGCTGGCATTGGGGATCTTGGAAAGTTCTTAGTATAGTAAGTACTTTAGCCTATAGTAAAAGGGAAGATACAATGAATGGAGAGCCATAGGAGTGTGGAGCCTGGGTAATGAGGTGGGCTTTGGATCAAAGCATGAGAATTCTTGCTGAGAATTGTGGAGAAAAACCCTCAATGAAACTTGCCAAAATTGACACTTAGCTGATTTCTGATAAAATTCAACATATTAAAAAGTAAGCAAGTGTTGAAGAAATCTAACTACCTGAGGGTTACTATTAAACTAAAAACCCAGCTATTTGTAGTCACACTGCATTACCAACTCTCAAAGACAGAACAGGATCAGTTTCTTTGGGAAGTAAAATAATTGTAGCAGCTATTTGGTAAGGTAACAAAAGGAAATGAAGACTGCCAAGCCTCATATTCCAGCATTAGTGACCTTCTGGCAGAATTTCAAATGAACACTAAATGATAAGAATGTGAATGAACATAAATGGTGGGCCGAGAGAAAAAGAGAAGCTGAGAAAGAAAAACTTGGAAAAATCTCCACAAGTTCTGTCAAGAGACAGCCATTGTTCTGAAGGAATTGACAGAAGAGAATCTTGTTTAATTTTGTGGAGGACTACCCTGAAAAATCAAACCCTCATTAATAAAAGAAAGAAATCAGGTAAAATATGATCTATGACCATTTTTAGGAAGGAATTAGAAATAATGTGGAAGAAGATGTATAATCCAAGTATGTTCTGTACTGTGCTTTGTTTGATAAGTTGTGTCAATGTTCATTGTAGACCAGGTCTTACTATGCCTGGTGGCACATCTAATTCTGGAGCACGGGTCTTCAGCATGAGAATCATGATATTTTCCAGGCCCCATAGCTTTTGCTGTGGCCAGTGGATTTGTCTATTCTTGATGTCATGTGGCAGGTGGGGGGAACAAATTAGCTACAAATTGATATTTGTGTTGACACTGATCTCAAGAGGCAGGCTGAGTACAATTTACCATCTGAACTTCAAGTTGATGTAAACAGAAAGTTTGAGATCTTCTAACTTAAATTCAGAATTGCTAGCCGACTAAACACTGGATGCTCTGTTTCTTCTTACCAGTCTACAAACCTTAATTTTCACCTTTGTTCTCAAGTCCCACTCTAGCTATCCCACTCGAGCTTTGATGCTACGCATCACTTATCTGAAGTTCTGCTTCTGTACTCATTTTTTGAATTCTAATGCAGTGTCTCTGCTCATCAGCCCGTTGTTCGATCATGAGTCCTAATGCACTGCCTTTTCGTATCCATCTACCTGAATCTGAGTTTTTGTAGCTTTCTTCTCCCACCATAGTGTGAAAGAAGTTCACAACAACTGTTAAATCGAATGAACTGCGGATGCTGGAAATCAGAAACAAAATCAGAAATTGCTGAAAAAGTTCAGCAGGCCCAGCAGCATCTGTGCAGAGCAGTCCCTGGCACTGTAATGCAGCAGTGCTAGCCACTGCGGCACTGTGCCGTACTGCTATATGGCACATACATTGTACACTCAACAACGAAATTTCACTGACAGTTTCTAGAAAGAGATCAGAGGACTTAATATGTTATTGTCAGTTATATTCATTAAGTACAGATCATTAAAAGTTATCATTATGGCCATATTCCACAGGATTCACAAATATTAATACAGCTGCTCATCAGTAATCAAGCCAATTAATCCACAATGCCATTAAATCTATTACAGATTCACATCAAGAAAATAAATGTGTTCTAATCATTCCTTAATCTGTGTGATGGATTTTGCCTCCCTCTTTAATTCTAACGATATTTTTACTTCTCTCGGCAGAATCATACATTATAAACATCTCATTTTTTTCTTATTTTTAGAAAACAGAGGATGCTCACCCTAGGGTTTCCAAGTGAAAAACTATAGACATCTCCAGAACATCTTGCAATGCATTTCTGCTATAAGTCAGAAAAAGTTGCTGAAATACAAAACATCTATTACACAACTCAACTCCACAGTACTATATCTGACATCACCTCTGCATCTGTGACAAGCCAGAGTGCCCATGATTCAAGTGCAGGTCTCTGAGTGTGGAACATATTATACCACAAGAATATTTTACTTTTACAAGACAAGAAAAGGACAGGATTCTCGAGTCTTCTTTATTCCTGGTTAGAAATTTATAATTGTTTCAAAGTTATATTTTATAACCTATTATGAATGAATTATTAAATCAATCATGTTAAATTCCAGACTTTTCCAAGACAAATCTTTTAATTGGTTCTTTTTCTGTATTAGGAGGAATAACAGCAACAACTGCCTTTTTTGAGAAAGCATGTTGCATTTTAAGAAATTATGTTTTAAAAGTTGTGGGAAAAGTAAATTAACATGTTCTAGAAACTGGAAAATGGGAACACGTGCCATGAGGTCACAACATTTAACGTATAATGGAGACACATTTTCCTATAATGTATTTCTTTGAATGTGACAGTAAATTAAATCACCAAACCCATACAACCAGTTTTCTAATTTTTAATACGACCTAATCTTATTTCACTAACTTATCAAGCTGGTAGTTCCTAGATCAGAAAATTTAATTGAAAATTTGGAGTTGAATAAGAGTCTTAAATTGCTCTAGCCATGAGCATTGAGAGCCATTTATTGGCTGTTGTTCTTACAGCATTTCCAAGGAAAATAACTTACCAGCTACTACTCAATAAACTTTTAGCTTGATCAATAATATTAAATAAAAAGAAGTAATCAAATTGAACTACAATAAATAACTTTCTGAATTTTCTTATTAAATCAGCCTCACTCTGAAGATCTTTCTACAATGGCAGGAGTCAAAAAACATTGCGGGAAATTAACTTGTTAAATAGTTTTGGAAAGATTTTTAATAACTGTGGTATGATTAAAAATAGCAGAATATAGAAAATATTTCAAAAAAATGCACTGTTACAGTGGTCATGATACAATAGGTAAAAACCAAACCCACGTCAAGTGCTTTTCACAAGGTGGAAACATTACTCAGAAACTGACCAAGGGGCATTGGTCACACACCTCCCTCATGGTTGCACAGCAGCCCTTGCAAGAAGCATTGAAATGGTTTAGCTGCCTGTCTGCTCTCTGCTGTCGTAACACCAATTCAATAACCAACCAAACAGAGCAATGGCCTCATGTTGTGCCCATGCCCCAGGCCAAGGGGTCTTGCAATCAGGGTGACTGTGAAGAAGGTGGAGGAAGGATCACCAGTCAATCTGACCTTTTTCATGAAGAGAGCCCTCTTAGATTCCAGCGGGTCCCGAGCAGCAGATATTTTCTGTCTGCTGGATTTCCCCAGCCAGTGCTACTTCGACATGACCTCCAGGAGCAAGAAGCAATGTGAGCATATCCTGAAGGTACTTGAGGAGAAAGCAGGTGAAGTCCCCTCTCCGTCCTGTCTGCGGCACAACTATTTGTTCGCCATGCACAGAGGAGCTATGTTGTTACAATCCGTATGTACGACCCCTATGTGCCAGCAGCAGGTATGTACAGCTTGAAGGGAGCAGCACAAATGTAGTGGCCCCCTTTGGAGTCTGGACCAGCATGCGGCAGGTCAACATGACCCTGAAGATGGATGCTTGTGGGAACATCCTCCACCCGCAACCACCCCGCTGCCGCAAGTTTCATGATTGAAGGGAGTCAAAGCTACCTGTCGTACCTGAGGCAGCCTAGAGACTGCCAAAACTGTGGAGGTCAGGGCACATGGCAACAGACTGCAAAATGACCCTCTGCAGGAACAGGAGGGCCACCTGACCAAGGACTACAAGAAGACCAAGAGCTGCAACCTATGTGGGGAAGCAGACCACCTATAGAAGGCTTGCCCAAGATGGGGAGGGGCCACATACACTCAGATGGTCGGAAGTGGCAACATGTGCCGTAGACCCACAAAGGGCAGTAAGGTGCCACCCTCCAGCAAGAAAACTCAAATAAGGGACACCTAGCAAGAGGGACAAGCAGGCGCAGAGAAAAGGGTAGCCACCACGGAGGCATAGCAACCAACCCAAACTCCACCTGAGGAGATGGAGTCAATGGAGGAGGAGGAAACAAAGGAGGCAGGGGAATGGATACCAGTGAGAAACAACCACAAAAACACATCAAACCTCCTTAGTTCCATAGCAAAATGGAAAGAGGCAACTGCATGGTGGGCACGAGGATGTAGGGAGTTCCCCAGCATCGTACGTGAATGGACTTTGGGTCTACAGGTAATTCTATAAACTCTCAAAGTGGGTTTTAAAATTCCCAGTATTATCATGCGTGGCATTGAGTCTAATACGTAATATGTTTCCATGCTGGCTTACTGGGCCAACGTCAAAGCGGACTTCCTGTTACTGCAGAAGTGTGGGATGCTGCATCTCAGCAGCTACAGGAAATGCTCAAGGTTATGGGCTGATGGGTCATCTATATGGTCGGGAGGGGAAACAATAGCTGATTCTCTAGCCTGGGTATTCTGCCTGAAGAAAGCAACTTCACCATCTCTGAGGTTAAGGAGATGGTGGGTGGGCACCTCCTCGCAGCAGACATTATGTACAAAAATACTGCCCAAGTCTAACTAATGTGTATGCCTTGGTGATAAAGAGCAAGCAGCTAGTCTTCCTGCCGCAGCTCCCACTGCCGCTGGCGACGTCCAGGCCAGACACTGCAACTGCATCATTGATACGGATGGACGATCTGGAGAGACTGACAGCAAACCAAGCACCACCTCCGTATTCCTGATGGAAACAGTTACAGTCACCAGGCTGCACGAAGTTTTCACAATCCCTGCAGACAGAGCTCACTGTCGATACACCTGGTCACACCCAGATGGGTCTAGCCGCCCAAGGATAGATTTCCTGTTTGTGTCCTGCACATTCTCGGTCAGATCCACCGATGTCTAGCCAGTATTCTTCTCTGACCACTGCCTCCTGCTGGTCGACTTTCAACAGGACAACCAACTGGCTGGCAACAGAATGTGGAAGTTAAATGTGAAAACACTGAAGAGCTCAAAAAGGATTACACAGGTTGGAGAACCATGAAGCCCCTCTTTGAGTCTCAAGTGGACTGGTGGGAGACAGTCAAGGGGAATTTCAAGGAGTTCTTCATTCTCACAGGCAAGGGAGAGGGATGGGGAAAACTGTTCAAACTCCAGAAAAGCATGCAGAACCAACTCCTGCTGCAGACAATGAGGATTGATGTCACAGAGGATCTCCAGCAGGTGAAGAGCCACTCTTTGCCTCAAACGTCTCCAAGATAACCTTCTGGTCCAGAGTCTGCACCATGGAGCAGGATGAGATATGTTCATGTTATTTCTTCCAGAAGATGCCCAGGGAAACCACTGTGATCAGCAATCTGAAGGAAGAAGATGGCTAGGTAGCGTCATCACAGGATGACATCCTGAGAATCAGCAAAATCTTTTATGCCAGACTGTATGACACGAAGCCCTCAGACAGCACAGTCTCCCAGTCATTCCTATCCTTTATCATGGAGGCCCTAGACAACAGCACATGGGAGAGGCTGGATCGGCCGTTTTCTCTGGATGAGCTGACCAAGGCCTTCGAGTCATTTGAAAAGAATAAAATACCTGGAAGCAACGGCTTACCAGCCAAGTTTTATTTGGTTCTGTGGGACATAATTGGCCAGGACCTGTTGGAGGTGTACAACAGTATGCTTCTATCAGGTAGCATGTACAATCCATAAAGATCCATACTCTCATCTACGAGCGGAAGGGGAAGAGGGAAGAAATTGGAAATTAGTAACTAATTTCACTGCTGAATGTAGGTTACAAAATCCCATCTAAGGCTATAGAATCATAGAATCCCTACAGTGTGGAAACAGGCCATTTAGCCCATTGAGTCCACACTGCACCTCCAAAAAGCACCCCAGACAGACTCAAGCCCATACCCAGTGCCTGTAACCCTGTATTTCCCATGGTTAACCCACATAGCCAACCATGTCAGGTCTGCTGTGGGATCAGTGATTCATCCAGACCAAACTTGTGCTGTACCGATCTCTGAAAGCCTTACACTCCTCAGGAATAAGATCGCCTAGGTGCAGGACAAGGTGTTGGATGCCTGCCTCATCAGCCTGCACCAGGAAAAGGCCTTTGACAGGATATCACACACCCATATGTGGGATGTGCTGTCCAAAATGGGCTTTGGGGAGGGAATCTGCAACTGAATCTGACTGCTGTACACCAACATTGTTAGTGCAATCTCAATTAATGGATGGGAATCAGAAAGCTTCCCGATCAGATCTGGAGTCAAGCAGGGCTGCCCACTCTCTCCTGCCTTGTTTGTGTGTCGTATAACGGCTTTTGCCAAGTCTATCAAGAAGGATGTGAGCCTGAGATGGGTGACTATTCCAGGCAATGGAGGCCTGCAAGTCAAATCCTCCCTGTACATGGGTAATGTCACCATTTTCTGCTCAGATCCACTATCAGTGCACAGACTCATGAGTGTCTGTGACCAGTTCCAACTGGCCTCAGGAACCAAGGTAAATCAAGACAAGAGAGAGATCATGTTCTTTGGGAACTGGGCCAACTGATCCTTTATCCTTTTCATTGTCAGGACAGATTACTTGAAGGTGCTGAGAATATGGTTCGGAGGGGCCAGAGCGTGTGCAAAATCTTGGGAGGAGCGCATTGCCAAGGTGAGGCAGGAACTGGTCTTCTGGGAGCACCACTCCCTCTCCATTGAGGGTAAAATCCTGGTCATCAGACGTGAGGCACTCTGTCTGTTGTATGTGGTGCAGGTTTGGCTCCTTCCCAGAAGATGAGCCATTGCACTCACCTGAGCCACCTTTCACATCATCTGAAGATATAAGATGGACCATGTCCATAGAGACACCATGTACAAAGCTCTGGATTGGGGGTAAGAACATACCCAACGCCGCCCTCACCCTGATGGCCACCTTTGTATGTGGCTGCATCAAGCTGTGTGTAGACCCTCAATACGCAAACAAAGTGTCACTTCCTACTGAGGTTCTACCTGTCTCTGGTGTTGCAAAGAGTCGGTCTGGCCTCATTGCCACGGAACACTCCAAGTAGCTGGACTATTCTGTATTACCTGTTCTTTGTGGAGAAATTTGCAAAGAAAAGCACCAATGACCACACGTCCATCAGGAAGTGATCAGTACATAGCTTCCTCAAGACCCTGCAGGAACAGGAGAGGGCGGATCCTGTTGAGTTGTTTTCTGAGTAGACTGTCAAAGTCATTTGGCAGAATGCCTCATCACCAGAACTTCTAACGAGCACCAAGACATCGTTTAGCTGCTAGTGAAAAGGGCTGTACCTATGAGATCCTTCTTTATGCCTGGACTGTCTGCACCACTGCACATTGCCCTTGAAGTAGCTGCGGGGGACTGTAGAGACTGACACATCTGCTGGAATGTGCCTTTGCAAAGGAAGTCTGAAGAAAGATGCAGTGGTTTTTGTCAGTGTTCATCCAGAGCAGCTGTGTGACGCAGGACTCTGTGCTCTTCAGTCTATTCTCTGTGATGCATACCAAGACAAACATCGATTGTACCTGGAGGATCATCAACTTGGTGAAAGGTGCCCTTTGGTCTGCCCAATCATGTTGGACTTCCAGAGCAAGGTGTTGACTTTGACTGAATGTTGCAGACTAGCACATTCCAAGGTCCAGGACTAGGTGATAAGGGACACAATAAAGCTTGGAGCAGCTGCCGCCAAAGCACAGTGGAGAAAGACCGCTGTTTCAGGTCTTTCTGCTGAAGTTAAATGGGGGTCCGTTCAGTTTTTGGACCCTCCCAATGCCTCAAATATATCTAAATATAATCATATACAAGTAAGAAATGCCTTTGCTTTGTTTGCTAGATAGAGTCAAACTCCAATGTTTGTTTGTTTCTTCATATACTACTGTACAAAGCCAAACTGCTTTAGGGACTAAGTATGTATATAAAAGATAGTTTTATAAGGTATATTTTTGAAATTAAAAGTCTGCCCTCTGCTGTCCTTCAACTATATTACAATAGGAGTATTCTAACAAGAAGTTAATTGGAAATGATTTGCAATATTTTCTTGCTTGCTGAAAGGTACAAGTTTATATTGTTAAATCTTAATTCCACTGACGGAAATCCCAGAATAATCTTAAATGCAAACAAACCAATAACAGATTTGAATTGATCAGACAGTGGCCATTTGGTTACCAGCTTCTGAATCTCATCAACAATTTGTGTGGTTTAACAAATAAAATTATTTTAAGTATTGACTGTTATCATGCCTAATTTTCAATAATTTATTCCTTCTTTCTATCCCTTGATTTAATTCATGTTTAGCCTCTTAATAATTCACATATTTCATTATAGCAATGATGGAATTTTGGCAGTAGTTCCAGAAAAATTTAGTTCATCATCATAAAGTTTAGGAATGGCTGGGAATCCATATGGAAATAGTCACAAACTGAATTCTGCAGGAATTGATGCTAGAGCCTTCTTTCTTTGTGATACGATCTGAATCATCATTGTGGATGAAGGCATTGGAGGTACCACCAGCAAGTTTGCAGATGCTATGAATATCTGCACTGGTGTCAGAGATTTTGAGGAGAAACAAATAAAATTTGACAAAGGGAGAAGACTGTGTACAGTGGACAGTGGACATATTATTTTAAAATAGGGACATACCTGCCAGGATAAAACTCAGTTATATTTCAAGAGATATTTCCGAGAGGATTATTTACCCCTTAGTAGTAGATCACCAGCTGATGTAGTGGATTTTAAATTTACTACAAGCATTCAAAAGGTTGTTGGACAAGTTCCTAAAGATGTATATTAACTTTGCATAGAAAAGCTCAGTGGGATGTTTGGTAACATTTTAATAGGAACATGGGTTCAAGAGTAGGCTGTTGAGCCTATTGAGCCTGCCCACCATTCAATACAATCCTGGCCAATCAAAGACTTCAATGCCTTTGACCCACCCCATCAGCATAACCCTATATACCATCAGTAATCAGAAATCTATCACTCTTAAACATACTCAAAGACTGAGTTTCCACAGCCCTCTGTCATAGAGAATTCCAAAGGTTCACAATCCTCCAAGTGAAAAACATTCTCCTCATCCTGGGCCTAAGTGGCATCTCCCTTATTTTTAAAATATGCCCCCGGTTCTAGATTCCCCAACCAGGGGAAACATCTCGTGCAACTACCCTGTTTATCCCTTTAAGAATTTTATAAGTTTCAATGAGATCACCTCTTAATCTTCAAAATTCCAGAGAATACAAGCCCAATTTACCTAACATCGCTTCATTGGACCGTCCCGCCAACCCAGGTGAACATTTGTTGCACTCTGTCTATGGCAATTATATTTTTCCTAAGAGGAGGAGACCAAAGCTACGCACAGGACACCAATTGCAATCTAACCAAGCTCCTATAAAATTGAAGCAAGACTTCACTACTCCAGTAATCAAATCCTCTTTCCACAAAAGCTAACATTCCATTAGCTTTCCAAGTAGCTTTCTGCACTTGTATGTCAGCCGTTAGTGACTTGTCAACGAGGGTCACCTAGGTCACTTTGTACTTCCATACTTTCCAACCTCTTGTTAATCATTAATTGGCCCTTTCTCATTACACATCAATAGATTAGCAAGCATGATAGATTCCTGGTACTCGAAACCATCTGCCTGTTTTTTATGACTGCCAGTAGTCACCCATTACCTCTCTGCTTGTACGCTACGAATCTGTAGTGTGACCACCTTCCTATACGTGAAAACCACATGGTTATGTGCCTTGCGATGCACTACAGTGACTCCAGGCACTGCTTAAGTTCAGAAACTCAGTGCTCACATTTGTGTAATTGGTGACAATTGCTGCAGATAGATTTGTCTAGTACACATGGTATGTACATGACTTCGCACATACTACAGAATGTAAACTCCACTTGCCATCACATAACCTCGAAGTTATTTGTTACCAACAGAATAATGATAAACTTAATGTGAAAACATAATAAGCTATTTATCAGAAAAGGGGAGAAAAAAAGACTACAGACTTCAACACAAAGTCAAGATCCAACATTCACTTTAAAGATTAGAAATGCTGACCAATTGTTCTCACCAATCAACTGCTTTCCCTGCACCAGTGACATCATGCTACCATTGACCTCGGTACAGGTAGGCCTCCATTCTTCATTTTTCCCTCTTTCACATTGCTGGCTCTGAGACTTTATTTCTTAATTAAAACACCAATTTTCCCCTCTTTTCCCAAATGCCCACACCCTCACTAGATCTCCTTCACACTTGGACAAAGTCGCCCGTACTCTGATCACACAGCTTACTGTGGCCATATACTTTGAACAATCCCTTCTTATATCCTTGTTCTTGTATCCTTGTTCCTGCATCCTTATCTCATTGTTATCTTCCTGGTAAATCAAAGAATGTGAGTTCAATACTCATCATGGCAGTTTGAGAATTTATATTTAATTTTAAAAATCTGGAAAAATTGCTGGTATCAATAAAGGTGTCTTTTTCAGTTTGCTAACATCTTATTACGTGACTGGTTTTAAATTCTGATTGTTAATGCTCCTATGAAGTGTTTTGGGATGATTTAAAGTTGCCATAAGAATGCGAGTTGGTGTTGGACAGTTTGTTGGCTTCACAGAAACATGATGATGTCGCAAATATTGAAGGACTATTTCTTTTAAAAGCTACATTTAAAAAGAATGGACGTCAAGCTGGCTACCACAGACTATGGACATTTCAGTGAATTGGAATGTCTTATCTCTTAAGAGGACAAAACATACCTTGCAATGTGATTCGCTGAGCCAGAGGATAGAAAAGGCCCCTCAAAACCTTCATTGTGAGAATGCAGATATTCCTTTGCAAACAGGAGAGGTTTTGGTTGACTACACCACACATGGGAGAAGAATCCAGTCTGCTGATTGAATTACCATCGTATCTTATTTGAACTATGACTTGACACTTCACGTGAGACGCCTGATATAATCCCCATCCGTCACCACTCTCCTCCATCAGGCTGAACTTGTTCTCTCACTGAACAATTTCTCCTTTAATTCATCTCACTTCTGCCAAATCAAAGGAGTGGCTATGGGCACCTGCATGGGTCCCAGTTATGCCTGCCTCTTTATGGGGTATGTGGAATGATCCTTGTTCCAGTCTTACACGGGCCCCCTCCCACAACTATTTTCTCAGTATATCGACGACTGCTTCGGTACCCGCTTCATGTTCTGGCCAGGACCTTGAAAATTTCATTCATTTTGCCTCCAATTTCCACCCCTCTATAACTTGCACATTATCCATTTCCGACACTTACCTTCCTGTCCTTGATCTCTCTGTCTCCATTTTGGGCAATAAACTGTCCACTGCCATCCACTACAAAGCCACCGACTCCCATAGCTACCTTCACTGCAGCTCATCACACCCCACGTCCTGCAAGGACTCCATCCCATTCTGCCAGTGCCTTTGCCTACGTCACATCTGTTCAGATGATGCCAGCTTCCAAACCAGTGCTGCTGACATGGCTTGCTTATTCCATGAGTGTGGTTTCCCACCCACTGTAGTTGACAGGGCCCTCAATCGCATCCAACCTATCACCAGTGCTTCTGCCCTTGCCCTTTCTCATCACTCACAACATGATGGGTTCCCCTTGTCCTCACTTTTCACCCCACCAGCATCCGCATTCAAAGAATCATTCTCCGCCATTTCAGACAACTCTGACAGGACACCACCACTAAACACATCTTCCCCTCAGTCCCCCTGTCTGCATTTCGCAGGGATTGTTCCCTCCAGGACACCCTAGTCCATTCCACAACACACCACAACCAAAGATATAACAGAATTCAAACATTTTTTCTGCAGAGTTTCATCACAAATGAAGTATTGACAGAAAAGTCATCAGGCCACTGCAATCAGCTAAGCAACTAAGTATTTACCTGCAATATGTTAAGGGAGAGACAGAGAGCGAGAGAGAGAGAAAAACAACCTGTCCTGTAAATTACTGCAACTTTATGTTCACCTTATTGACTCAAAATAGATCATCTTCAAAAATCTGCACAGCTACCAAGAAATCTTTGTCTTCCACACCTTCACTCCAGTCAAAGCATCAACTCCACTAAGAAACATCAAGTCTGCCCTGAAATAGAGACTGAGTTTAATTCTGCTTTTCTAATTACTGTTTTATCTTCCCCTGTACAGTTGGTTCTGCTATAATGCATGTTATGGCAACGCAAATTGGCTATAACACGACTGATGAATAGGGGAACACTATTTCTAAAACACACACTTGTGTTGGCTATAACACGGTTCCACCAGTGCACGGAGGAGTATGAGTTGACATCCCATGATTGTTTCGCGGCTTTGTCCTGAGCATGCGCTGGCATCACATGATCATTTTACAGACTTTGCTATGAAGTGCTTTCTGTGACAGGTACAGTACTCCATGATTTTCATTTTTATTGCAAATTCTGCCATGTTACCCACAAAAATGTGTGGACGTCATTGGTTATAAAATTGTAGGTGGTGAACATAAAAGAAGGCCATACACTGAAAGAGAAGCTTGATGGTATAAAGCGTTTGAACATAATGAGAGAACAGGTGATACAATTTGTATAACAGGAATAAAGGAGTCTACCTTACGCACCATTAGAGACAATGCAGAAAAGACTAAAGCAAGCTGTATTGCTGGAACAAGTCTGATTGCTAGCAAATCTGTGAGGTCATGGACAAAGGAACTTGAGGAGATGGAGCAGCTTCTAAGTGTGTGGATAGAAGATGAAACAAAAAAGCGAAGTGGGACCACCTT